ATATTACTTACGGACCTTTTATAATGTTTTTAAGCCTATCTCCTCTGTGTTACTCCTTAGAAACGGACTGCACGAAGCTAATTTTGAACCCCGTGTGTATGGAATGTGCCAAAGCATTAGCCTCGTCTTTACGAGTCAGCTAGGCAGACACTATTTACTGTTAGCCATCATAGCAGCCAATCAGATGGGCAGGACGCTTGGGCTCTATTACGATGTCGCTCACGACTTTTGTGTATGCCAGAGACGGACCTCTTGCATTATGGCTCGATTTCCTGGGCTCACAGATGCCTTCAGTAACTGCTCCTTCAAACACATACAGATGGTATTTACTAAGGGAGGCGTGTGCCTTTTCCAGGAAAACAGGGTCTACCTTAATAGAAGCCTAACAGAGACACGCTGTGGAGACGGGGTGGTGGAGAATTTGGAGCAATGTGACTGTGGCTCTATGAAGCAGTGTTACACCAACCCCTGTTGTGACACTGACTGTCGGTTAACCTCGGGAAGTGCATGTGATAAGGGGACCTGCTGCACAAACTGTAGCTACGCCCCTCCTGGGACTCTCTGCAGATCCATCCAAAATATATGTGACCTTCCAGAGTACTGCCCCGGGGACTCCGTGTCATGTCCTGACGATTTCTACATGCAAGATGGAACCCCCTGCACGGAGGAGGGCTACTGCTTCAGAGGGAACTGCACCGACCGCACGATGCAATGCATGGAAATATTTGGTGCAGGTGTTCAGAACGGTGATGAAGCCTGCTATGCTATAAATACCGGAAATTTCCGATTTGGACATTGTAGGCAGAAGCCACAAACCAATGACTTTATTCCTTGTCTTCCACAAGATAGGAGTTGTGGAAGGCTTCAGTGCATGAATGTCACCCATCTTCCCCAGCTGCAGGAGCACGTTTCATTCCACCAGTCTATGACCGAAGGGTCCGTCTGTTTTGGGTTGGACAGACACCGCTCTACAGAAACAACCGATGCTGGGGGCGTGAAAACTGGTTCCCCCTGTGCTCCTGGAAAGTACTGTGACGACACTTTCTGCAGAGGGTCTATTACTGAACTCAACTACGACTGTGTTCCTGAGAAGTGCGGTTTCAGAGGAATTTGCAACAACAGAAGGAACTGCCATTGCCACGTGGGCTGGAGCCCTCCACAGTGCTTAAGTCCAGGTGCTGGTGGGAGTGCAGACAGCGGGCCCCCTCCTAGAACAGTGCGTTCAGTCAGACTAGGCGAGCAATCAATGACATATCTGAGGTTGATCTTTGGACGTATCTATGTCCTCATAGCTGTCCTACTCATTGGGGTGGCCACAAATGTTCGATCTATTCAGACTACCAAAGTTAAGAAAAAGGTACTTCCTACATCTGAAAAAAAGTAGCCTCCCATTCGCACTAAACATACAGAGGATACAATGTGGACATCTGTGAAAACCTCTGCAGGACACACAGTTGTTCCTCACATCGCAGGGGAAAGGGCGGCTTTCATTGGTAGGCTGCAGGTCACTCTGAAATAAACCTGTAAAACCACATGTGAGTGTCTTCTAATTCTTTTTTTTTTTTTT